TTCTTAAGCTTGTCAATATAGTTTTCATAAGAATAGTAACAAATGGAATCTCAGGTCTGAGGCAAATACATGCCTCTGTTACATGAACTTTTATCATGTTTCTTTAGAAACATGAGTTTATCCAAAACATTTATTCTATGTATGTGTTGTAGGTCAATATGAAACTTGTCACCACACTTAGAATAGATTTACTCTTAAAAGTACTGAAAACACTGCTATCCAAAATGAAGAAGAAAGAAGAAAGGAAGCACACAAAAAAAAAACCCTCAGATAGTGCCACTAACTAAATTGTAGTAATGTGGATTTGTTTAGCTCATTTGAAATAACTGAGATTCACTTTAGGGATTTTTTTCCATGAATACTATTGTTTTACTATTGTTAGAAAATTAGGTTCATCCTTTCTGTCCTAGGTGAGTCAACTTTTTACCCCAAATTCATTATTTATCATCAATTCTCATCCATTCAAAAATATTGAAATATTGAACTTAAGTAGCAGTACTTTATCAGATTGATGATTTTTAGAAATATTTATTAATATTTGATATGAATGAACCTAATAAATGCCTTATATTTTTTGCTTTTTGCTTCAGAGCTGTATACTTCAGCTAATGTTGCATGTTACCTGTGCTATTACTTAGTTAAAATTTTTCTTTAAATGCATTTACTTATTTATTTTTTCATTCAACAAATACTTTTTGGACAGAAGTTATGTACAAAGCACTATTCAAGCCACTTTTTAAATAATTTCCTCACTCTTATTCTAAGTTATAATATGTGTGAAATCAAAAGTATAATTTTTGTTTGCATTTTTCTAATATAAATTAATATGAATATCTATTAAAAATTTTTAAATATCTGTCCATCATTGGACATGAAAATTATTTCATATGCCACCAGTGGCACTTTGGGAAAGACTGCTTTGTTGTTTATAAAGCACCTTCATGTTCATTGTCTCTTTAAATTCTCTCACTGGTACATAAAAATATGCACAATTGTCTTCATTTTACAGAGGAGAGAACTGAATCTCAAAGAAGTGGCATTCCTAAGGACACCAATCACAGGCAGTTAGCCAGGCACCAACTCTGGTCTCCTAACTCTAAGCTTAGTACTTTTTGTGTGATACAAGTGCCCCCTAAACAGGAGCTGATGACATTGTGGAAATGGAATGAGGAAGTGAAAAATGAAAAGGGAATTTGAGGTCAGCTGTCTTATCTCTTATGAAATCTATGGCATGCCTTCTGCTCTATCCTTTGACCTTTCTGTGACAGCTTTGCCTCAGACCCAAGTAACGAAGTCTTCACAGAGAAACTTTTTCCTGTGATCAGTATTAAAGCCTGCATCTCTGGTTAACTGGCTCTATTCAAAAGTGGTCTAGGATCTTTGATTCAGGTTCTCCCAATATGTACTGTACCTCACTTTCAGAGATCTAGTCTGGCTCTCTGAGAGGTCTGTGTCTCCTTTTGTTGAGGTACTTGACCTTAAGTTGTTTCTGAGATACACTACATGCTACCATGTTGACTCCAATCAAACTTATTAAATTACATATTTATTACATCAGTGTTTAATATGTGCCTTGTAAACAGAATCAGCAACCAGAGATTCAGACTTATTCAGAAAACTCCTAAACCTCTCCCCTATAATAGTGTCTGGCCTTATCGGTATGTTTCTACTGAACAGGACTATTTGCATCAAAGAATTTGAGTGAGGAAGAAAGGTTTTAGGAGTCAGAATTATTCAATATATTTGTATATTTATACATGAGGTAATAGGTGAACCATAAATACATATAAATTCTGGGTGTCTTTCTAATTCCTAAATGACACATGTACAGAGTTATACCATGTTGGCTATTACTGTTAGCATCATCAATACTAGAATTCTCATTCTATGTGGACAGATTATGAGTAAAGAAACATTGGAGAGCCTTCCTCAACTTCTCACCAAGATAGGAATTAAATAATTTATGAACTCCTGACTTGTGTGATGTACAGCAATATAAGATTGTAATTATGCTTTAAAATAATAAGTGTCTTAAATTACTTGCTCCTTCAGTGTAAGTTTAAAAATAAAAAGAATTTGTGCATGTTTAATATTTTTAATGTTACATTTATGTATTTGATTTCCCAATATTTTCTTCACTTACAAGTTAGCTAAGTAATTTATGAGGCAGTGCTCATTAAATTATTAAATATGATTTGTATTTGACTAGAAGTTGAGTTTATTTTGATCTTTTCTGATACCCTTGGGGAGTATCTTTAAAGAGTTTCTTGAATATTGGGTAAGTTTATGAATATTTCCCTAGACAACACACATTCTTCATGTATTGTATTTTACGATTCAGTTGTACTAAAATTATGAAACAAAATGATCTTGCCATATCAGAAATGCACAGTGATGTGTATCTTATTTATATTTAGTTTCAGAAAGCACTGTCATTGCTTTCTTTTTCAAGGTCATTGAATCCTTTAGAAATAATATGGTTCATTATAGAGGACCTTAGACCTAACAGAAAAATTTAAATGAAGAAATTTAGAGAATTAGTTCAGAAAAATCGCCAGAAAATTATCCAAGCATTAAACATTTTGAAGGTAAATTTGGGCAAGTACCATCTAAATTTCTTTTAAAATGTAATTTGATTTAAAATAAATTGGCCTTATATTTTTAGTATGTCTGTGTATATTTTTTTTATTTATCCATTTTATTGGTCATATATCCAGCATTCATTATGCCAATCTTTCAAAATAACTAGATATTACAAAAATAGTTTGCAGTTCTGCTCTGATTTCACAAATAGTTTACATAGGAAACCATTTTTGCAAATACATGTTTTCCTATAAGACTTCATGAAAGTAAGTCTATACATCTTACAGCAAAGCAAATTTTATGCAGTTTTTCTCCCATTTAACCATCATTTCAGGTTTTCCATCACAACCAAGATATGCACATGAGTGAATATCTACACATGTGTGTGTGTGTAAAATAATTATTTCAGTGTTATTAGAGTTGGTATTGTGGAGGGAGGTTGAGTGCTTCAGAGTCAAACCTGACTTTCAGTGCTGACTGTGTTACTTAAATTCACTGATTTCCATCTGTAAAATATCAAAGTACTAGTTGGCAATACTACCATACTGAATGATAAAACAGTGCCTTTTACAAAATAAATGCATGAGAAATGTTTTTACTGCCCCTAATTCCTTATTTAATTAAGAATAAAAACTGAACATTTGAAAAAGTAGTTGACCTAACCTAGTTTTTAAAAATTAGGGTAAGTTTTCATATTCGTGCCTTGTTTTTTTTCACTGTGAATCTGCTTTCTGTTGCCTGCATCAATCCCTTCTGAGATTTTCTCACTACATCAGTTTGTGTCTAATGGAAGTTTATTTTATGGGAGAGCTTCCTTCCTACTTACAAGAAGTCACTTAAGTAAAAGTGAAATTAGCTATAGATTATATAAATGTAATGTGTGAAATATCTTTCATATCTCTCTTGGTTTAAGTGAATATACAAGATGGAACCTCATTTTTAACATAAAATGTGAAAATGTATCCAATCACCTTTTTTTTTAATAACACATGAATAAATTCATTTTACTTAAGCTTTTCCAGTCATCCCCAAAAGACACCTTTCTTCATGGCTTCTGCAAAGAGTTATTGGAACAAAGATGTCTCTTGTTCTGGCCCTGGCCCAGAAGAGATTGGGTATCCCCTCCCCCTCCCCCCCCGCCCCGTGAACTTGTGTATATAAGATATTTGGATCCTTTAAGACAAAATAGAAAAATTGTGAAGAGGAAAATGTTTCCATTAAATGACTTTGTCTCAGTGAACAGTTAGAAGTGCCTGTTTTCAAACTTAATAATGGAAAACCTTTGTTTATCATTATTATGTACTAGATTTGAATGGGTCTAGAAAAAAGTATTTATAAATGTTATTCAGGAACATTTAAAGACAAAAGTTCATAATAACTTCCTTGCTTCTTAGTGTTTATTTTCTTACCTGTGAGGCATTTTGGCAACCTCTGAATTTTTATATAAAAGTAGCATAGAGGTGGGAAAAGACTGGATTAAATGATGGCTGAGAGATTTGCCTTGAAACTGTGTTTACATAGCAAGCAACACTTTTTACTCAGATTTTTTTTTTGAAGATCAATAAAAATAGCAATGTTGACCAAAGGTGTTTTTATTCACAAGTTACATATAAACTTTTCTATTTATTAATTGTTTTTCTTAGGGGAGCTAACATCCAGAACCAAAATAGAGATTACTGGGGGCACATAGCAAAGTCTGCCCCTCCCACCCCTACAAATTGCGCCAGCCACTGCCACCATTTGGTGGCCGCACTGTGATGAAGTAGCAGGCTTCAGCAGGCTGGCAGTCTTCCCACTGCCCACTGCCCCCACTCATCTGTGGCTCCTAAATCCTTACACGTACTAGGCAATAGTAGCCTCTCTATGCTTGGCTAAGTGCTCAACATGACGCATTTTGATTCTCACAGCAATTCTAGCAGGAAGGTAGGTATTATTGTCCTCATTTTAAAGAGGAGGAACTGAGGCTCAGTATATTTAAGTGTTTTATTCATGCTAGAAAGTGAAAAGCTCAGATTCAAACTTGAATCTGCTGACTCCAAAGCTAACTGTTGCTCTGGGCTCCCCTGATGCAATACAGATTTACAGTTGGTTGCTGAGCTTCAGAGAAGAGAGAAAGCAGACCAGGATTTCAAATTTATGTGATTTTGTCAATTGAAGGTTATTTCAGCTCCAGGTTTTGTTCCTAAAACATTACTTTCAAATGTTGGCAATTTGAAAGCCAGTTTTTCATTTCCATTGATGTTACAGCCCGGAGCCACAGAATCAGCCTCTGCTGGGGCAAGGCCAGGACATTTGGCAGGGCAGTGAGGTCAGGCTCCCTTCCCCCAGCGCAGCACCTGCTGGTATAGCAGGAAGGTGAAAGCAGGGTTGACACTGCAGGTCTGGGTAATGTGATTTGTCTTTCTGCCTTCCCCCAGGTGGAGCCCGAGAAGTTGAAGACACTAACAGAAGGTTTGGAAGCCTACAGCAGAGCCCGAAAGAGGAACAGAAAGTAAGCGCTATTTTTTTTCCCATTTTGGGGCCTGCCTAAGTACAATTTTTTTGTTTGTTTGTTTTTTGTTTTTTTTTATTAAGGTATCATTGATATACAATCTTATGAAGGTTTCACATGAGCAACATTGTGGTTATTATATTCACCCATATTAAGTCCCCTCCACACACCCCATTGCAGTCACTGTCCATCAGCATAGTAAGATGCTAAAGAGTCACTACTTGTCTTCTGTGTGCTATACTCCCTTCCCCGTGCCCCCCTACATTATGTGCGCTAATCATAATACCCCTAAATCCCCTTCTCCCTCCTTCCCCACCCCCTTTCCCTTTGGTAACCGCCAGTCTCTTCTTGGGGTCTGTGAGTCTGCTGCTGTCTTGTTCCTTCAGTTTTTGCTAAGTACAGTTTAACTGTTAGCACCGACGAGGACCATTAGAGACAAGCCAAATTAGCTATTACAGAAAATATTTTTTCTTAACAATTTATACTGTATATTGCTTTTGCCTCTTCATCAGCTCTTTCCTCACTCCCTTCATCTCCGTGTCTCTCATTTGGTGGGAGAGAAAATATAATTAATATTTTCAACATGTAGCAATTAAATAAATATAGAGTATAGCAAATGTTTATCACTTTGCAAATGAAATACTCGGGTGGAATACCCCCAGTTGTACACATGTAATAATTTTGGCAGATTAACTGTTAGCAAACTGATGATAAAAAAAATTTTTTTTGGAGCAGAGGCAATAGGTTTTCTTTGGAATTATGAGAAGCAGTTGAGCTTTGGGACCTTACTATTCAAGTGTTTCTAGATCTTTATATTCTGAGTAAATGTGGTATGCACAAGTAGAAAATGTTTGAAATATAATTTCCACTGTAATAGTTAATGCATTATAACTACTTTCATTTTAAGGTAGAGAGCTACAAATATGCTTTTGTGTATGTATATGGAAAGTTGTTTTAAAATATATTTAATTGACATAGCTGTTCAGTTACTAAAATTTCCATACTATCAAACATTCAAGAATTACGCAATGAGAGTGACTAGTAGTGTATCTTGTATAAAAGGCTTATGTGATGATATCAGTAATATCTATTAAAGGGCATTGTTTTTCTTAGTGTTATCTTCAGTAATTCTTTCCAGAAGTGAGATTTTAGAACTCAGCAAATCTTGGGGAGAATTCTTTCACCCTGCTTTGTATGGCTCATAAAAAGATCCAACCACAGGGACAAACTCCTGTGCCCCTAGGGTCAGGACTCCTTCAGAAGGTAGGAAGTTGGCACTGGTTGTAGTGAGGGCCAAGTGAATTGCCAGATTTGCCATAGATTTGATAAAGAACACAGTGCAGCAAGTCCCCTCTGCTCTGAAGAGGGGACTACTTTTGAAGGGCCACTCCTCATGCAGTACGTAGTAGTAGGATAAGGCCTGTAAAATAATACAAGGTCTAGATGAAAGGAGGGAATTTCCTCCGGTGATATATGCCAGTTAGCTGAATTATGTGCAAAAAATCCAAAACGGTAACACAGAAATGAAATTATTCTTCTGAATGTTTAGATATACTACCTTGAAATTAGCTTTATTTCCCCATAAGTTTGTTATTAGCAATTGCTGAAAGGTAATAAACAGCAAGTTTTTAAACTTTTCTTCAAAGCCAGCTATTTATGGCAAATTTATATAGGTCCTAAGTGGCATTATCTGAAGTAACTCTCATGAAACTATGAACTTAGAAATTGGAGAGGGAAAACAAAGAAAATATGAGGCAAACTTTAGTAAAAACTGCCTTATTATCATACTATTGTCTACATAGACTGACTTGCCTTGTCAATGCCCAATAAAAAATACCTCATATTTTGCATATATGATTTAAAATCCATCATTTTATTCTCCCAATCACAAGATGGGCCAGAATTACTGAGCCCATTTGTAGATAAGGACACTCAGACCCAAACAGTTTAAATAATTCACGGAAGGTCACATAAATGATAAATGATGTGATGAACTCATTAATTTATTTATTCATTTATTCCCCCCAATTTAAGGAAACTAATTCAGCAAAATATCTGTGCAGGGAATAGTGGAACAGTCCCTGCAGCTCACTGTTCAGTGAAAGAGATAGATCCAGAAGCAAAGAATGGAAATGTTTAAGTTGCAATGAAGGCAATATATATACTGTATTTGGAACTCATAGAGAAGTGGCATTACTCGGGCAAAGGAAGACTGCCTAGAGGAGATGACGTCTGAGCCACGCCTTGCACACTGCATAGGTATTAACTAGACCAAGCAATAAGGGTGAAGGTGGAGCAGGGTGGGATAGTGTTTGGATGAGATAAGCAGTTCGATTTGGGGGACTGTAAAGTGTAAGAGATGCAGCCAAAGGAGCCAGATAAAGAAAGGCCCAGCCAGGGCCCATAGGACCCTAATCCTATTAGAAGTGTCTGAAGGGGCCAGTGATTGGATTTTCAATTTAGATGTGCCTGTGTGGAGGACAGATTTTAGGGAAACATTACTGGAGACAGGGGCAAGGGAGGACAAGGACTCAAACCAGGAGGGGAACAGTGGGAATGGAGGAGAAGCAATGTGGTCAACAAACACTGATGGGGTAAAATCGACTGAGCATCAGTGAAGCATGTGAAGGAGAGCATGCAATCAAGGACCACTCTCAGGGTTTTTTAGCTTGGTGCCTAGGTGTGGGGTGGCAACACTGACTGACACGGAGAACACAGGGGAAAACTGTTAAGTGCAATGTGAGGGGGCGGCCCGTGGGACGGCTGGACGCACAAGTCTGAAACTGGAAAGAAGTGGCATTTGACTGTAAAAGTACTTGTGATCACAGAGATACTTTGACCAATTTGAACAGTGGGCTAAGGATTGAATGCTGGGGTATTCGTACATTACTAGATAATGAAGAGAGAATAATGATCAGAAAGGAGAAGGAGAACCGGGGGTAGGAGAGTAAGATGTCAGAAGGCAAAGGCTAAACATTTCCAGGATGATAGAATGAAAAACAGAGTTCCAGAGACACAAGAACTGAAAAGTTTCCACTGAACTGTGCAAACTGAAGGCCGTTGGCAATATCAGTGAAACAGTTTCCAGTAGAGTGGTGGGTATAAAAACAAAGTGCCTATGGGTTGAAAGGTGAATAAGAAGGGAGTAGAGAGAGCTGATACAGATTATTTGCTTTCTTTCTACCCTTAATGTGAAAAATTGCTGAAAAATAACTGGAAGAATATTTAAAATGGCAAGGATTTGACTGCTTTTGCAGGCTGAGGGAAAAAACAGAGAGGAAGAGAAAGAAAAAGGAAGGTGGCATTTGGAAAAAGATGGTTAAGAGGTTGATTTTAGGCCTGGATTCAAATCCTATTTCCACCACTTTATAACTACGTGCCCTTGGATAGATTGCTTAACCTCTCTCAGTCTAAATTCTTCATTTCTAAAATGGGCATATTAATACCTATCTTTTAGGATTGTTAAATATAGATAATATAATAGAGCCTAACACAGTAACTTGCACATAGTAATACGCAGTAAAGTTTTTTTTTATAAAGACACAGGTGAAACAAACAAGATGATCAGATATTTTGCCAGTTGAAATATTTACCACCATATTGGATGTTTAGAACTTCATGTAGTCATTTTAATTCTCAATATCCTCCAATCAAACTGTATAATAAATAAATACCTTTAAACTGATGTGCTTATTATGGCCTAAGCACAAAAGAAATATTAACATATTTATTGAGATTACTCAGGGTCATTTTATATTTAAAAGAGGAAATAGCTTCACTGAAGAAAAAATTGCACAGCTTTTAGAGATGTTATGATTTTCATTTAACTGAGGTTCAAATTTTCTGTCTATATGTATATATAAGTTTATTTGGTAAGCTGATATTTATAAAGCTGGAAAGGATTAACATGATAAAATCAATCACACTTTCACTTTAAAACACATTAATGATACTTAACACATTAAATTTTCTTAAATCTGCATTCTTTCTCTATGGATTAGGTTTCAGAATCTAAGATTCTTGACATTTAGGTCTCACCCAAATCTATACGAAGTGAGTTGCGTACATTCTAAACTGACAGTACACAGCAACATTCAATTTCTCATTTCCCCCTTATTTCTTGTACCATTCAAGGATGTATATCTGGATATTTTTTTGATTAGTGAAGATAAAGATGTGTGATAATATAGGCGTTGAAGATAAGAAGTAGCAATTATCTTCATTAATAACTAGAAATGTGATTGCATGAACATCCATTGCTTAATCAAGTAGGTTTCAGAGTGTCCGTTATTAAAATGTTTATTATTAAATGTCAGCAGGGAATAGAAAATAGTAGAAGTGACTCTACAGGGAGGCCCTCTGGACTGGAAGACTGAATTTTGACTAATTGTTCATTTCATGAACTCATGGAGTTTTTTTCTTCCCCTTTTTAAGTTCATTCTTCCCTAATCTGACCAGTTAGTATAAAAATTATTCTGCAGATTTGACATCTGGGAGAGTGTTTACCTCTTGATTCTCATGATGTATTCAAGTAAGTCCATGCCCACATCTCTGTATTATTCTCTTCCAGAAGTAATCATTTCTCCTTCTATTAACTACTAAAGTTTGTTAAAGGAAAACACCACTAATTTAGCTTAAATTAATACAAAGTATTTATAAACATTTACAATATCTTATTGAAGAATATTATAAATTTCTAAATTCCATCTTTTTATTTAACAAGTAATGCTGAATTACTTTTACATTTTAATGGTGATTAATTTTTTTTCTATATAGTGAAAATTTTTTTGTGACTCTGTTACTTCTGAAAAAAGTTTGTAGCTGAATATCCATCTTCCTCATTACAAAATTAAAATTAGTTTCACCAATTCTCCCTAAAAACTACTGCATAAAAACAGTTGTCAAAATACTTCATTGGCTGTGGTAAGGATTACAGTAATGTAAATAAAGATAATTTATAAAAAGATTTAACACAATTCTTGGCACATATAAAATGTTTAATAAATAGAAGCTGTTTTGTTATTAAGATGAAAGTGAGAGAAGTAAGATTCTCTGATGGTGTTTCATTGAAACGTTTCTTTTTAGATATTTAGAACTTTATGCAGTCTATTTTAAACCCATAAGATATTATAATAAAAATGCACAACAAAATCTTACAAAACTCATGTGTTCATTCTTTTAAATACAAAAGAAATAGTAAGGATACATCTATTTATTACACCAAGTGTAATATTATTGGGCAGCTAGGCAATGTGTGATACCTACTGTTAAGATCTTTACCAAACAAAAGGGGCCCCAGCCCAACCCCAGCTAAGCTTAGATGGTCCTGCAGATTCCTGGGATTGGATTCCTACCCAGTCACCCAGAATCATGCTTAGCAAACTCCTCACTGCAAAAACAACTCAGACTGACTCCACAAGAGGCCCAAGGCCCCTTAAAACTGGAATGGGTAGGTAAATTAAAGACAACAGATTATATCAAACTGGACTGTGCTCAAAGACCACAATAAAGAATAAAGAGACAAGTTGCAGAATGGTATGTATATCAAGACATCTTTTGTATGTATATTTAAAAAAATATGAAAGACAATACTAGATACTGTTCATGGATATAGTATATAAAAAATAAAAACACACTAGCAGGATACACAACACAGTTGCCTTTTGGGGAAAAGGAAAGAGGGAATGAGACTAGGAATTGATGACAAATGGAAACTTTAGCTTTATTTTTTTAATTAAAAAAACAAAGGAAGTAAGTAATTTATTAACAGTTTGTCCTTGGAAATAAGTTTGATAGGGGTTGTGACTTTATTCTATGCACTTTTCTGTGTAGTTTATATTTCTAAAAAGAAATGGGAAGAAAAGGAACACCTAGAGGCTAGCTTAGAGGCCAGCAAAAGGTGGGGGGAAAGCAGTTGGTACTGCATCACCCTTATAATTTAGTTAAAACCAAAACATTAATCTTCTCTTTCAGTTAAAAGGAGCTTAAGTGCATATATGTTTCCCAAAATATAGAACCATCCTGTTAGCTTTGGACAAATGTTTTTGTTTAGTAATGTACAGGCCATCTGTGATGTGCCCAGCAATATACTACGCAGGTTGTACTTAGCAGTTAAATGAATAAATCGTCCAGCCCTGGTGTATGAGGCTAAAACCTGGTGCTGCTGTGGCAAACCGAAAGGCCTCATCTAAAGGCATTTCGCTAAGGTTCAAATATGTTTTTAGACACAATGTGAGCCAAATTAAATGGGACTATGAGCCAAATTCTTCCACAACTGCAATTTCCAATCTCCATGTAGATGCTGAGATAGGACTTAACTCTTGGAAAGCCATGCTCACAGCCTGTTTTGGAAAGGTTTACCTCTGCAGCTTTTCCAGTAATTGTCATGACAACATAAATGAATCACCTTAGTACTCAGAGTAATTGAGTAATTATTTATATACATAAAGAAGGAAAGGTCAGTTAGTTGGAATGGACAAAGAAGGGTGCATAACTACAGAGGTGGAGATCGTGGATTTGCCGGATTTTAGTAATTAGTTCAACCTCTTCCTTGATTAAGTTTCAGTAATGGCAGGTGAGTTTGTGTTATTTAGGCCACACGTGGAATGGTATGAGTGCTGAGTGGAGAGAAAAGGTCAGACAATCGATAAAACACTGTGAGACCATCATTCTTTATCTGTTCAGATAGTTATGTCATTTCGGTTTGGGGGAAAATGTGGTGGGTCCAGGCATGCAGGGAGCCTCGTGTGGCCGGTTAAGCTGTTTGCTACCTGGAAGGAATGCAAACTAGGATTTTAGACCTAACTAGCTACATCAGAAGCCGGGAGGCCCCTAAGAGGGCAGAGGGAGCTCCCTAGTGGCCGGAGCCTGCAGTGCAGCCCCTCCGCCTTCCCCTAGCCACGGAGCCCGGCGGCGGAGGAGAGAAGCCCCAGCGAGGCCGTACACGGCAGGTGGAATCTGGGAGAACGAACTGCGTCTGTGAGAAAGAGAGACCCTATGGCCAAACTTACTTACAAAATCGTCAGAGTGTGGAAGAACCCTGTGGAAGGAGAAAGAATCCATTTTCCCTAATCGTGTATTCAATTTTTTTTGTAGTTCTGTGAATTTATCATTAGTATTCAGGGGTGAGAATCCCAGAGCATTTTGTCATCTGCATTTTCCAACTGTAAATATAAATTGGTATCGGTACTTCTGTTTTCTAAGCAGATAATCGGACTAAAATTTTTGTTGCTTTAATTTATTAATCTGGTATGTTGTTTTCATTAATTCCAGAAGTGGAAAGCTAAATAACCATTTAGAAGCTGCTATTCATGAGGCCATGAGTGAACTGGACAAAATGTCTGGGACTGTAAGTTAATTTATTTTTCCATTATACTGTGTTTCTTTGAAAATGAATTGCATTACACATTTTGGTAAAGTCTCAAATATTGTCAGGCAACTCACGTAGCAATACTAAATTACTAAGCTCAAAAAAAAAGACATATCAGAAAAGATTCAAAGGAATTTAGGAAAAAAATAACTGAGCAGTATTAACTGTGTCTTTTTCTGATACATAACTTTTATTTTTCCTACATAACATTCTTCCTAAATGTGAACAACAAAATACTGAGATTCAAACCACAGCTTTCTTCATTTGACTCTCTGAATAGCAGTGGCCATTGCTATTGCCTAAATATTGAGTGCAAATTGCACTCTGTCTCATTTCCCTTCCACTGTTACCTAAAAAATAAAATATTTGGCAAAAACTCTGTTTTTAAATTATTTAACACTATAACCTCTGGTTTTAAAGAAGTAGTGTCTACTTTTCTTCACATTTTTATTGAATTGTGCATATAATATTGTTGAATGAGACAAGTTTAGTCATTATCTTCTAATTCACATACTAGCTAATGCAAACACTCAAAGTATAATTTTGGTCATCTCTAAAAAAATGTGAACTATCTAAAGCTACTCAGCAACGATAGGTAACTTCTTTTACTTTTATTAAACACTTTGTGTTAACAAGGTTATCTGAATCCCCAGCAACCCGTCCAGTGACTATCAAGTGACAGATAGAAACTGTAGAGTCCGGGAATACTGGGATTGGTGTGGGTTTTACAGATTTCGTGATCCAGCCTATCATTTCATAGATGGGTGAGTTGAGGCCCTGAGATGTTAAATTTCCTGATAGAATTTAGGGGAGGCTGAGAGCAGAGACTATGAACTCAAATGCCTTTTAGGACCAAGTAAATATCTATCAGTAAGGTGGGTCAGGTATGAGAAAAATAGCTATTGGAGTGGATTGAGAAATGCCAACCAAGAGGCTCTGTTCAGGGTGGGCTGCTTACAACTCTCCGTCTTAGGGGCTCAGCACAGTAAAGGCTGTTGCTCAGTCTGGTCTAGTGCTGGTTGCTGCAGTCATTCAGGGCCTCAGAGTGCTCCTTTGTATCCTTTACACCCAGCCCTGCAGGTGAGGAAAGAGTGTACACAGAAGACTGCCAGGATAGGTTTTCTGGGCCAGGCCTAGAACCTCATCACTTCTGCTGACGTTCTGCTGGCCTGATCCATCCAATGACCTTAGCTCAAGTGGACTAGGACACATATTATACAATGAGCCTACTCAGGAAAAAGAGCAAATGAGTTCAGTGTGCATTTTGGACATTTAACCTTTGGGGCTAGCAGGCATTAGGGAGTGATGGGGACTGTGGTGGGAGGGCATGTTTGCTCCAGAAGGAGCTCCTTCCATGCTCCAGTAGATCTGAACCATATGGGAAATTGTGCCAGGGTTGCAAGATCTTCCCATTTTTCATGAGATGCTAGAAATCTAGAAGTAAAATTTCTCATTTTTAGTGTTGATAACTATTTTAAAAATATTAAAACATCATATGACTAAACAAAATATGTTTACAGGCCACATTTGGGCCACAGATTACCAAGAGTTATTTACACTCTTAAATAAAGGCTTCTTTCCTCATTTATAAAAAGTTTTCAGTTGTACCTCTTTATCAGAGACTAGTGATTTTTAAAAAATGTATATGAAGAGATCAGCAGTATATGAAAAAGCAGTTTGAGAAACTCATAAATGTTATTTTAAAATTTCAATATTTTCTTCCTGCATTTGACTCTGAATAGCATTGGCCTTTGCTGTTATCTAAACATTATTTTAAAAACATACTATTGAGCCAACTTGTAGTAAATCTTGAGAGCTGATTGTTCAGATCTCTTCCTAACTCTGAGTTCTGTGACATCACACTGGTAGCTTGAACTTGGCCATGGAGGAAGTATTTACACGACGGAAACTGGCATACGCTACAATGGGCTTGAATCCCTCCACAGGTTGCTAGTTGTTAAGCATTTGGTACACTACCCGCTTCGGTCTATCCTGCTTTTCTAGGTAGTGGTCTTCACCTCTCCTGTCAGTAGCCACACACAATGTGCGGCACCTGATCACCTCCCTAGCACCTGCCCTCTGCCCCTTAGAACCATACCTGCTGTCTGATATCTGGCAATTTGTGCTGCACTACTTCTCCACCTCTGCTCAGTCTGATACACAGCCCCAGTTGCTGCCAGTTTCTGCGTTTGTAGATAAAGATGAGTTGTATTACTTACTCTTCCCTAACTACACAAGCTCAGATCTGCTGCACTGCCAACAGATGGTAGTGGTATTCCATTTTCCATTCTGATTCTTCTCATAAATAAACGTGAGCTGTTTGCATGTTCTTATAGTCTTTGACCCTTCTTAGTAATTGTAAAATAAGTAGGGTGATGAAGGGAACAAGATGACATGTTTGGTGTGTTTTTATCTACTTTTTCATACTCTACTGAAATTGGTGATCTAGGGGTCTCCAACGGGAAAGGCTTTACCTTTGTCTTAAATGTGCAACAGCACATCACATTTCCCACACTCGGCTTCCTCCAGTTCCTCCTTTGCACTCCACTATTTATGGGAGTTCCCACAATGGTGCTCTGCTTATCAGTTTCTGGGATTCCTTTTTCTCTGTAATGATGGGGGACACACCAAGCTCTGGGGTCCTGGTGAAAATTTGAAATGCCTCAAGATATCAATGATTGCGAATGAAGGTGGAGTCTGTTCCCTAGCCTGTTTCTTTGTCAGAAATCATATGGTGTTTGTACTTTCAACCTCTTTTTGTCATTTCTTTCCACCTCTTTTATTTCCAGGTTCACCAAATTCCACAGGGAGACAGACAAATGAGACCCCCCAAACCCAAGAGGAGGAAGATCTCCAGATAACAGGGGCTACTCCACCAATGTGCAATGTTTATTAAAGGAATGTGCACAGATGTATCTATATATATAGGTATTGATATAGCCACTGTTATATCAATATTTATACTATGGCAGATGGCTACCACCACCACAGGGTGCTAACAGAAACAGCGATACAGTATTTTTTTGATCAGGAAGGATAATGAATACTGGAAAACAAATCGAAATCCTTGAATGATGAAAGTGATGAATGGTCAAGAGCTTACTGAGAAACTTTTTCTATAATACTAAAATTGTGATTATAAGAAATAGTCCAAATGTTTCTGAAGAATTTTCAATGTTGTATATAGAAAATACAGAATTTCATGGTGATATCCGAAATGTAAATATTGTACAATGTTGTCATGTACAAGCGTACCTAATGCACACTTTATCTTTTATTGTACAAAGAAATAGTGTACAAAATTCCTTGGTTTCTATGGAGTACACCTACCAGAGACTACCAGTGTAAAGTGATAAATAAAAATACAACCTAAATGCTTTTCTATGATAATGTAAAAGATGCTGTTTTTGTATATAACAGCAGAGAAAAGGCATGATGATGTATTACCTGAATTATGACATACACTGCACACCACTGAGTGTCCATTTATATTGTCTGTTTGGAATGAACCTTGCCTGGAAGCACTGGACTCAATTTTGGGTGTCTAGGAAATCGAAACCTTGCAGATTTCTAAAGGGATGAGGGCTCACAGGTCTAAATTAAGAATTCATAAACTGCAACCATTTGTTGCGTATTTTTTTTACCTAAGTTTTAAAGTAGAATAGGTTTTATAAAAAAAACTTAGATGGAATATTTTACTCAGTCATTTCTGTAGTTAACGTTTGATAGCCACCTATGGAACTGGATAGCTTAGGCTGCACCACCATCGATGATGTTCAGAGTTGAGGGTTTTTTTTGCAAACAATACCTGACAAGATAGAACTTTATGTTTCCATACATGGAAGCAAAAGCCCCACTCTGAAACCATTGTCAGAGGTAAGGTTGATTATAATTCAGGTTTTTTGTAGTGGCAAAAATAAATATGAATCATCAAAGCAAGTTTCATATCCATTCATCAGTATTACTTAAACCAGAAGTTAAGGTGGCTTACAAAATTGTTAGCAATGGTAATTTTTTATCAGTATTATGTAACATATCAGATTTATTTTATTTAAAGAATTATTTATACCATTAACAGATTCTTATATATATTAATGTGGCTGAAATGTGCAGGTTAAATCTATTAACCAAATTATTTATATTATATTAAGTAAGAAAAAAATGTGAAACAAATGTAGAGAGAAAGTACTACAAGTATACAAACCTAAAACTGTGAGCCATTGTAAAGTACAAGGTTATTAATAAGAAATGTAGCACAACATAATTTTCCGTCTTTTTTTCACAATTTTTGTGGTGGTGGTATAACCCTATCTCCCAGGCAATTGAACTAAGTTTCAGGCCTCCAGTCTGACTTCAGTTTATGGATTGTCAAAAGAAGGGATCCATTGTCCCTTTATTCTTAGAACCACCAGCCCCCACCCAAACCCTTAAACACCTAGAGAGCACTGCCTTGTTCCCAAGCCGGGGGCTCACTGAGCCACTTAACGCCTGGGTTGCTGGGGGCTCTCCAATAGCAGGCTCTGGATCCCCAAATGCACACCACATCCCCTACTCCTCCTGTCCCATGTAGCCCCAATCTCTTCAGTCCCACGAGGTAGCAGAGTTCTAGTAACTCAGGGCAAAGGAGACCAAGGACATTCCACCAGTAGGTTTCTTGGGGTCACTGCACAGAGCACTCCACCTGGGCTCACTTTTGATAGCAACAGCTCTTAGTTCTTCCCCCAGGTCTCTGGTGTCTCTCTGCCCCTTTCACACCCATTCTCACACCTCCCCCCAAGCCTGATGGGAAGCAACTGGCTGCCCTGGGCTTCATGGCCTGGAGGCAGAAACCCTTCCTTCTGGGGGTAGGTTCATTTTGTCTTTCCTGCAATGGTGGGATTCCCTACCCTGTCCTTCATGCTGTCACCTGAAGTAATCTTTTGTGTACTTTTGACACATTTTTGTTGTAAGTTGATGTGGTTGCTATGTTTAAGCCATTAATGTCCATTTTTTTGTTTTGCACCAACCTGCTCTTCTACTGTTTTGTCTACAGTTGTTTTTATTCACAGATGGTTGCAAATGTGTGTTTGTTTTATGAGTGTGTCTACCTATGTGTGTGTGTTGATATGTAGCTTTTCTAGCCTTTTTTGTTTGTTTGTTTCTGGTCATTAGACTGAGTTTGTGTCTCCTAAGCCTTCATTTAGTTGTTTTAACCTGATTAGGTCTGTGCCTCCCCACCAGTGTCGACTTTACATCAGCAGACCATGTAAAGTATGTCTGTGCCCGTGACTTCGCTGGTTGCTTATGGCTTCGATGTGAGTGTTAGGTGTTGTGTTTCAGTCCACACGGGGTTTTTTTTCCTCTCTCTTTTACAGTTATATGGTTTCATGTAAGCAGTTAATGTAAATATTGTTAGCATTACAGGTCATGCAGTGCTGTAACATTTTTTTAAATGTTGCACCTACTTTACCATTAAAAAGTTGGTCACTCATACTTGAATTTTGCCCATAGAGCCATTTCTTTCTCTTTGTATTGAAGCCAATTCATTTTTTAAAAATGAAGGCTAGCCCTACATTAGCACATTTTTAATACCCTGAAAGAAACTTTTTTTCCCTAACAAATCTGAGAACAGAAACAGAACAAAAAAATTTTTGCTCCTTTAAAGAACATACTCGTCTCTCTTGGAAAAAGAAACCTAATTTTGTTTTGTGTCCCTTAGTCTTAGGAAGCACAGAAGGAGAATAAACTACACCTTTAAGTGGTTTTTAAAGATATTCCCAGCGAGTGAGAATTAACTAAGCAGCTCTTACTTGATTTGTCTTATTTGTGTAGCCTTAAAAGCCATTAGGGTTTTTATTTTTTTAAAGAAACATTTTTGGTTTGTACTTTTCAGTCCCACTGTGAATGTAAATGCTTTAAGAAGAATATTCATCCCTGCTGATATCATGGGCCACTTTTAGTCCTGTTTTTGAACCCTGACTTTGAGTCACCTGCTATGTCTGGTTTTTAAGTAAACGCAACCTCCTTTTTTGAACATAACACTGCAGAATTGTGGGAGTAGAGGAGGGCAGTATTTTCTTACTTTCTGTAAGTTTTATGAAGATTCTTCATTGACTTATTTATCCCATATGATGATTCCTTTTTCGTTTCAAACCATGATAACACATTGTGGTTAACTTTGGTGATCTGCCCTGTAGTTTGCAATGTTCCCTTGTAAGTCACAAGCAGTTATGCATTGAGATTTTAAAATCTAAGATGCTTAAGATGTTTGTGACATTGCTCTTTCTGAAAAGAAAGCCAAGATTCTAGACCTTACTGAAAATCTGATTTCTTGTTTACTTTGCCCACTTCTGCTCAAATGGTGCAATGCGAGTTCTCAAGACTTTTCCATGTAGTGTCTAAAATGAGTTGTGCATTACTTAATTCATTTGGGGGCTATGAACAAATAGTATCAACCAGCCAGAACTATAATATTGAGCAGTTTGTCTTTTTCTTTTCTTCATTCTATCACATTTGCATTAGCCAAAGAGATAAGAACACTAGTAATTCATATGTGTAAACAACCCAGAAGTGAATATTAAATCAGTGAGCCAAAAAGCAATAAACAACGTAAGCATGAAAAATCCTGCTAACAGTGGGGAGTCTGATATAGAAAAAATATACAAAAAGCATTATCTTCAAATATGAAAGATTAATTTGTATCTACTGTAAATATGTATTATCAGCCTTATCTGCTTTTATACACACTGTGTGTGTACCTCAGTGACCTTTTATAAACCAGAAGAATGGTTGATTTAATAATTTGCTATGTAAATACAAAGTTGTCTATAAATTGGAAAATTTGATGCCAGATGGCTTCACAATATACAAATGTGTTTTGTAACATCATGCCTTTATGGATTAAGTATAAATACACTTGACTGTCTGTGTAGAAGAGTAGCAATTTACATTTCACCTGTATTTCAAATGGATATTTTTGTCCAAATGGTTATACTCTTAGGGAAAGAAAATGACCTGAACATTTTCAATGTGAAAAAACAAATATGATTTTGGATTCACCAGAACTCCTTTTCACATTCAAGAGTCATTCAATTCCATGCTAAATGCCTTGTATGAAGAGATTTCCGAAGAAGATTCATTGATCCAGGACTGGAATCTACCAAACTGAATTATTCTTTAGAGATAGGCTGTGCATCTTAATTTCTAAATCATAGACAGGGGAAGAACCACAGCCTTCCTATTGCTTTGACTTACCCTTCAGGGCTGGGTTCTTGCTACAAGGTGTCACCTCAACACACGGCTTCCTAACCTTAGCACCCCTGCCACCCTAGGAGCTGTCGCTGTCTATTGTGAGGGCTGTTCTGTGCACTGAAGGGTGCTGGCCAGCCTCCCCTCTACCCACCACATGCTAGTGGCATCCCTTTCAAATTGTGGTGATCAAAAATGATTCTGGACATAGCCAAATGACTCCTGGAGTAGGGGTGAGAATGGTAGGGTGGGGGAGGGGACTGCGTGAGACTTGAAAACCACTGCCTTAACAGACTCAGGGAACATGTCTATAAATATTAGTTTTCTATGCTATAATCAACAGGAAAATGACTCCTGGATCAAAATCCATGCCAAAAGAGTACTCACAGTCTATGGTTAAGGAAGTGACCACATTAGCTTCCGCTTGATTTTAACACGTTTGACAGTTTTGATCCTAGAACCCAAGATAATCGTGTTTTGAGAACTCCCAGGTAGAACCTGGGAGAGTTACGTAGATACTGTGGTTCAGAGTTTGTGAGAAGACTGATATCCCACTTTGGTATGGTGGTGGAAGGCTTCCTGATAGCGTAGCTGGCTCCCTCAGATCAAGATGAGGAATTTGGCTAAGGGGACCAAGTTGTATATATTTTAATAGCTCTCTACAGCAGCTTGGGTCAAGTGTCCCTAGTTTTTGTGTGGTCCTCTTGTAAGTTCCAACAGAAGCAGTTCAGTAGATCATGGAGATACCTTTGATATATTTATTCATTAGATATTCAGTCCCACTGTATGTCACGCCCTGTGACAGCAATAGGAATACAATAGTGAATAAGACAGACCCTATTCTCTGTCTTCACAGAGATGCCCAGAGATGGCCAGTTAAATATTAAACACAATGAAGGGTGGTAAGGGCTGGGATAAGGATGTGCCCAGCAGGCCCCTGACCTAGTCCAATGGGAATGGGGCTTAAGTGAGAATCAAGCACAGATAAATCAGAATTAGGCAAAGGAAAAGGGTGTGCCCTGGAGAAAAGAAAAAGAGAGTGTGTTAGGGCAGAGAGAGCAGCGTGTGTAAGGCTTGGAGGATAGAGGCCACGTGAGAAGAGTGGCTGAAGAGTGGAGTGCAAGATGGAGTCACAAAGAGATACGGAGCAACAACAAAGTGGGGTCTGGGCAGGTCTTGTCAGGACTTTGCACTTTAGCATGCTGGTAAGGAGGGGCGTGATCTGATCAGGTTTGTGGTTTCGAGAGGTTATTCAGGCCGCAATGTGAAGACCCGGCGTTTGGAAGGGGACCACACTGAAGAACATGCATCTCATTTCAGGGGCACCATGTTTAAAAAGCATGTACTTCTTCAAAAACAAAAATAATTAGGGGTGCATCCTAATTCTTCATATTATGTTTGTCAAGCAAGTTCCATCCCAGCTTTGTATATAAATGTATCAGTGTGTGCAAGTGCACCACTGTACTAACAGTCATGAAGAAATGCTATTCTATACTTATTGCCAACAGTATTAATTCCCTATTTCTTTCACACAAAGTCATGCTCTAGTGGTAGAGCTATGTTTCTACTTTGATGATTAGAAGTTGGGAAAGTCTAAAATCCCAGTCTTTTGTTAAAGTGTTAGAAAGCAAGGCATGCTAAAGTGCAGGTTAAGATTAGACCTTTGCATGGTCATTTCATCCTACACACCCCTACTGGGAAACAGGAAGCTGCAGAGGAGCATGTGAGATACAGAGGTACCAGGTGAGCACTGAGAATTCAAAAAGCGCGGAAAGGCAGGACCACCAACAGGGCCTAGAACACAGACCTCTGCCCCACAGCAAGGAAGACCACAATGGCCTTTGTGTACATGCTCTTCAAGGTATCTGCAACCACATTCATGAACATTGAACTTGAACTAATCACCAGTTAAAAAACAAAAGCAGAGGCAATGTAGTAACAGGTATCCAATGCTATTATCCAGAGGCCAGCAAATAGCCCCTTCCTGTAGCATGGGGTCCTGCATCAGGAAAATGGACCCTCCCCAGGGAGACAGCCCATGATAACATTTCCACACTGGGCTCTGGAGGGGGCATCATCTACATTCAACTGCAGACTGTGCCCCTTACTAGCTGACTTCAGGCAAGTTACTTAACCTATATGCTTCGCTTCATCTACAAAAGGAGATAGTAATAGCAGTTGTCCCAATGGGGTTCTTTAAGGGTGGAATGAGATTAGTGCAGATAAAGCTCTTAATGCCCAGCAGATAGCAGGTACTCGGAATGTTTATTGTTAAACTACAATATCAAAGATTGAGATTAGTAAAGGGAACTTCCTGCCAGTAAAAGGCTTCAAACCTAAGAAGGAGTTGTGTCTAGAACATCTGTGGAAGTCTGCAAACGTAGGAGAGTGGTTTACCTGTCCTGGGCAGCTCTGCCCAGGGCAAACTGTAACATAGAAGCTTTTTCTGGCTCTCCCCTTCCAGCTCAGAAATTCTGGATCTACCAGCCAGGGTGCTTCTTAGATGAATTCCACTGTCCATAATGCTACATGCAGAGATGGACCAGCAAAATGATTTCCCAATAAACTAGTCTGGAAAGTGATTTCTCCAAGAAGGTAAGTGCATTGACTGTGATCAGCAGAGTAGACACAGAACTTCTAACCTTCAGCCTCCCTGTGAAGTTGAAACCAACTCTTCAATTAAATAGCTCAAGGTATGAAAAACTTAAACAACTTCAAGTCCATGAAATCAGAGAAGCCAAGTTCCACACAGAGAAAAGTGAATTTGACTTAAGAGACTGAAATTTAGGGTCCTAGTTCTTGCCACTGACTGGCTCCATGATTTAGGACAAATCACTAAAGCGGCCCCAGGGCCAGACTCCTAGGTTGTGAATCCAGTTATTCAGTGGCTGTGTGACCTCAGTCCAATTACCTTTAGGTGCCTTAGTTTCATTCTTTGCAAAATGGGGATGCTAGAATTCACAGAATTGCTTGAGGATTAAATTAATCTCTGTGAAGCATTTAGAAGAGTGTCAGGCATTGAGTGAATGCTGTACAAGTCTCCCTATTGTTACTATTATTACTGTTAATAATAAATGCTGAGCCTCACTCATTCCTTCATCCATAGATGGAAATGACATAGCCCTCACTATATTCCCAGAAGAATCAGTCTTTTGTGGGATGTTTGTTTAAGAGGACCTGTTGTTCATGTTTAGCCACTTATTTATCTTCCTTGATTTAAACCCGAGTGCTCATGGGAGGAGTAGGCCTTTGAACCAAGCAAGAATCAGGAAGTTCCCAAAAGATCTGAGAATATAGAGGGGAGGAGAAAGCTGTTCATAGCTATCCTAGGATTAGCTGTACTCAAAGGAGTAGCATGAAAAGGAAAAGAGAATGCACTGAGGTGTGCTTTTAAAAGGGGGAGGAAAGAACTAATAAATATAGTGGCAGTACAGTTGGTGCTTGAACACACAGGTTTGAGTGGCATGGGCCCACTTAGAGGCATAATTTTTTCAATAAATATATTGGAAAATTTTTTGGAGATTTTCAACATTTGGAAAAAGCTTTTTCTCTTTTGTAAGAAAAGAGAGCAATGTCCTGGTTCTCTCTGAATATACATGTATACAATACATGTAACATATAAAATATGTGTTAATTGACTATTTATGTTATAGTAAGGCTTCTGGTCAACACTAGGCCAATAGCAATTTATGAGCCCTCAAAATTTATACATGGCTTGTTGACTGCATGGGGGTCAGTGCCCCTTACCCTCATATTGTCCAAGGGTCAACTGTATTGTTAAGTGCTATTAAGGATTAACATTTATTTCTTACTTGGAAGTTTAGATCTCAGTACTAAGACTTTTCAGACTGAAGCCTTAAGCACAACTTGCTAAAAAGAAGGAATAGAATTTGTTGAACACTGATGGAAGGAGGAGGTTTAACTGAACACTTCACCCCCAGTAACATCTTCAGGGTTTCCTGAGCCCCTGTGAACACTGCATGTGCGGAACGTGCCCAGGAGAACTAGTCACCCAAGCCTCTGGTCCCTGGACTGTGGCTGAGTCTCCCCACAACATAGCTTTCCCCACCAAGGTAATCTTAAGTAGCTTTCATGGTCACAGAAGAGAGTCTTAGGAAATCTGTGACCTTTTACGGTGTTGTCTCCCTTTCCCAATCAAAAAGAATTACCCAGAATTAGTAGTTTCCATCACATTTCAAAACCAGCATGGAGATTCATGAGCCATGATTCCAGGTGGTTTATTTGGCAAAGAATGGGAAGCAGGAATTCACAGGGGCTGGAAAAGAAAGCACGCAAGAATTGGAAGAGAGCAAAGCCTGGTTCTCTCTGGATAAGCCATCTCCTTGAGCAAGCGTCAGCAAGGCCAAAGAAATTGTTCCTCCCCCTCCTCTTGGCTTCCCTGCTCTTCCCAAACATCTGAGGCGATCGTGGAGCAGATGAGGCGTCCTGAGGAGGGGCAGTGTGTGTGCTGTGCTTCTGCGTTTTGTAAGGCAACCAGGTCAGCCAAAAGAGATCAGGCCACAGCAACTGCCAATGTGAGAGGCTCATAGCTTGCTGAGAGGAGAACAAAACTTTAAAAGTGGTATAATTCCTGCCTCAAAGAGTAGCTCTCCTTGTTCTAAAGAAGTCGTATCCAAACTTTGAGGACCTATTAGATATAAATGTGTATGTGTGTGTGTACTATGCATAATACTAAATTAATAT